CAAAGGACTAAACCAAGGATGAAACACAAGGGATGAAAATGAGCCAAAGGAATTCAGTTTTGCAAAGCAGAGCAGGATGAAGGTGTAGACGTGGAACAAGAGTAAAGGTCTGGGCAGATAACAGACAAGCACACTAATCACACACTTGAGTTTCATTTTCTGCGTAGGTTTCTTCTTCAGTTATCAGAATTTGCTACTTACGTAGGTTTCTTCTTCAGTTATCAGAATTTGCTACTTTTCTATAATAAATATACATTGCTTTTGAAAGAAATTTTGAGAGTTGCCTGGGTGGCTCAGTCGGTTAAGCATCTGCCTTCAGCTCAGGTCATGATCTCAGGGTCCTGGGATCGAGCCCGCATCTGGCTCCCTGCTCAGCGGGGAGCCTGTTTCTCTCTCTCCCTCTGCTCCGCGCCCCCACTCGTGCACGCTCTCGCTCTCTCTCAAATAAATAAGATCTTTTTTGAAAAGAGAAATTTGGAAGTTTTTTTGGTTACTTTAGTTATGGTCTAATGGATCTAATGGAGGCGGTATGACCAAGTAGAAAAAGGAAGGTGGAACCGGAAGTCAGATTGATGGGAGCTCCAAGAGCAGCTCGACCACTTACTAGGAGTGGGACCTTGGGCAGGTTACTGAACCTCTCTGAGCCCGTTTCCCCATATATGGCATTACGGTACTGGTAAGCTGCAAATGGGTAAATTTTTAGAGCGGGAGGAGAACACAGCACAGCGCCTGGCACATAACGGACATAATAAAACGGTAAATGGCGTGTGAATCACATCTGCATCTGTGGTTACAACCTAAATCACTAAACTACCCCTTCCCTTGACCCTTAAAAGATTATGTCATTTCATTTTGTGCTCATGTCATTTGTGCGTACTGGGATACAGGATGATTTACAGAGCAACTAAATGATAGCCGACTCACTGGGTTCCGAAAGAGGATAAGCACAAAGCTGGGGAGGAAGAGCTCTTCATTCTCCAGTGAGTCTCAAGTGCTCTGACGGAAGCAGGCTGCCAGCTACCAAGTGCAAGCGAGTAGCACCACCGTACAAAACGGGATACAAATCTTTTTTCTTTTTTTTTTTTTAAGAAACAGCTTTCATCAATAAGGATAAGTTTTTGAGAGTGATAACAGGGATCTCTCAGCACTGTCATTTCAAGACTCCTCTCCACCAAGAGCTTCAAGGACAACATAAGGTAGAAATAACTCTGCACTAGGGACACCTGGGTGGCTCAGTTGGTTAAGTGTCTGCCTTCGGCTCAGGTCATGATCCCGGAGTCCTGGGATCAAGTCCAGCATCAGGCTCCTTGCTCATCGGGGAGCCTGTTTCTCCCTCTGCCTGCCACTCCCCCTGCTTGTGCGTGTGCGTGCGCGCTCTCTCTCTCTCTGACAAATAAATCAGGAAGGAAGGAAGGAAGGGAGGGAGGAAGGGAGGGAGGGAGGAAGGAAGGATTGATTGATTCTGCACTGGGAATAAGAGCATGTGTTTCTTTCCCAGCTCTGTTATTACTTAGTTGTGACCATAAGCAAATCATTTCACCTCTACAAATCTTGGTTTCCCTTCTGTAAAATGGGACATTTGAACCAGATGAATTTCGTCTTATTTGCACACATTTTCAAGGCCTCCTGTAGCCAGAGTCCAAGCTATCACGGTACATGTCACCCTCTCCCCAGCAGGCTCCATCTGCTTGGGCTGAACAATCTCTAGGCTCACTCATGGTTTCTCCTCTGCTTTGCTCTTCAGCACATATGGGGTGTTAGGCTCTCCCTTCCACTTACCCACTTCTTATGGTCCTTGCAGACTCAACACAAGTCTCCCCCACTGTGAAAGTTTTCTCTGACCATCTCAGTCTTCCCTAACCTCACTGTCCTTTTGGAGAGATACTGTTTAACGTGTACTTATAATACTTCCTGAACTAGACTGAGAAACACATGGAGGACAGAACTCCAAGTCTAATACCATTTCCATAACACCCAACATAATGCTACACATTTGAAACCTTCCTTTGCTCTTTTGTAAAAGAGCTACCACCATCATCTATCTTTTAGAGTTGCAGGGAAAAACAAATGCAGTACTAATGTGAAAATGGCCAGCACACTGACTAGAATCAATTAGGAACTCAAATATAAATTTCCTTCTTTCTGCTCTATTTGGTGACTCATCTTCCCACAAGATGTTCTACAGAAAAATGTATTCATTCATTTGGGGGATGGACATCTACGTTGTGCTAGCAACCTAAGGGGATCTAGGGCAAATTCTAATTTCTCTGCAGCTTAGATTTTTTTCAAATGAAGATAACAGTACCTGGTCTCATCTCTTAGGATAGGAGGATAAAATGAGGTGATACATGAGAAAGCACTTTCTTTTGAAGAGCTACTGGCATTATTATGTTTCATAAGTCCTAGTTTCAGAAAGAAAAATCTTAAGACAACAAAAGAGACAGTAAGATGTCAATGTTAACGGGTGATTTGATGATGTCTGTGAAAATCCCACTCTTGATATAGACTAGAAATGTCAGAAAGTTGTACATACTGTTCCTTGGGGTAGAAAAGCAAAGATACTGAAAAGATTAGGAAGCTTTCTTTTTTGAACGTAATCACCTAGGGCATTACTCATCTCCCATGCTGACATATTTTTTAAGGCAAACAATATCAAAAATACATCTGGGGGGCTCTGTGGGCCTCAGAGTCTGGGCATAGCCATTTGACCATGCTAACTGCAAAGTAATAAAAAAAAAAATAGTAACATTAAAACCTTTGTGTTTATTGTAAGTAAACGTCATTATTATTATCTCTTCTACATGAAACTCTGCAAAGGTTAGAAGTGGGGAAGAGAAGAGAAAAAATATAGTCCTCAAAGTGGAGTTTGGGGTTTTTTTTGGTATCAATAAAAGTTACCGACACCTATAGGGTGGGAATATAACGAAATGTAAGAAAGAACCACTGTACAAGGCAAGGATTAAAATAGATCCATAAATGGACATTTCTGTCCCAAATCGTTTCATGAAAAAATATGAGAAACATGATTAGGGGAGGGTGATCTAGAGAGAAGTGTTTTTAGAAGAAAAATATTCTTCTAACAACAACAAAAATGCATCAGGCCACTAGTGACAAAAAAGATTTTAGAATTATTTAGGGACTCTGCTTTTTGTCCATTTAAGAATGTAATCACCCAGACAGGTAAATAGAGCAGTGTGGTTGGTGTGAGAGGAAGAGAGGGGTGTGTGTGTGTTGGGGTGGATTTAATCTCATTGTGCATTTCTTTCAATATTAGTTTACAAAGTTAATTAAGGAATACCTATCCAAAACAGATCACCACTCTTACAAGAAGTCATGTAAAAATGTATTTTTGTTTTTCTTTGTTAGATACCTAACCACATTTTAAAAAACATTTCAGCTTTATTAATTTATATAAATATGCCCTTGCCATAATTTGTAATACATTTTATAAGTGACTGGAGGAAATTTCATGCATCGCTAATTCATACATATAAATGTGAAGTTTGCATTAAACGTCTCTACACAAAACCCTACTTCCTTGCTATTTTTAGAAGGAACAGGATAAAGAAGAGACAAGAGGACTCTCATTACAAAGACTGACCCTCTTAAAATTAAGGCTATTCTGTTTTGAGCATCAACCCGTTAACTACTAAAACAACCCTGGTACCAGGATTTAAAAAGGCGCAAGTCTGGAAATACTACAATGGCTGATTGGCTTAAAAATAACATGTTAGAACCAGGGAAAACAGAGATTATAAGTGGTTGGCAACATTCCAGTGCTGCTTTTTAGTACTCTTTTTGCTTTTTAGTACTCTTTTAAACTCCTTTGGCTACCAATTCTCATCTCACACCATTTTTAGGTTTCTGCCAAACAAAGCAGGACACCGCTCCTACAAAAGTGTAGAAAAGACCAAGCAGCACACTACCCACGTGCACTCAAAACCACTGAAATCCTTCAGGCCTGCCAGGTTTGGGTACATTAAAATACAAGATAGACTATTCCTGAAGATGGGCCATTTTACAGCTTTCTTAGAACATATTATGGCAGTTATTACTTATAATATATTCTAAAAACTGTCACTAAAAGTGGACTTTTTAAGACATAACGTAGGCACAGTGCATAGTTCAATTCTCTAAGAGAAAATTAAAAAGAGTAAACAATCAAGTGGACAAATGACCGCAAAAATAATGCTTAAAATGTAATGAAACACACAGTAGACATTTCTTGAAAATAAGATTAAGAGGACTGTTTTGACATTTTATTAGTATTGTTAGTTTTTATATAGTTTAAAAAGGGAAAAAAAGCTCTTCCAAAATTGTTACCATTAACCAGTGTCTGTTTGTTTGTTTGTTTTAATCCGCCAGACTATTTCAACTATCTTGGAGTTCTTATATGCATACCTTTCCAAGAGCTTACCATAATGCAAAATTTAAGGAAATGTTCAGATGATTTTATATTTTTGTATAGAACCTATAGAAAATGCTTAGTTCCCCAGAGATACCATTCTTAGACACCTAAAATGCAAGACACTATTAAGCAACATGTCATTTAAATAGCTGAACACCTTTAAACAAGATAGGCCTGTGGTAATTTAAATTTTACATTGAATCAAAGAAAAATGAAGTCCATATAATACTCATAAGGCCATGGAATAATGCAACGTTACTTAAATATGTTCATACTTAAATAAAAATGAAATAGCACTGGAATAAATACCAACCATTCTTAATCACGGTTCAAGTCTGATAACCAAAATCAAAAATTTAATGTCATGCAAAATACACCTCAAAGACCAACCAATGCAAAGCTCCAAGCTTTAAACTTTTTGATAGTGTCAATAAAATCCCCAGGAAAAGAGAATACTGCAACTCCCCTTCAAACATAGACGTTTTAAATCTTGGTTAAACAGACGGAATGTTAAGAATGGTATGGTTTTTATTTTCCATAGCAGGTTTATTGACACTTTTTTTTCTAGTAAAGTTTGAAAATCTGACACTACCTGTCCACATAGAAGGGGAAACAAAACTTGGTCAAAGTCTGTAGAACTTCCTGTGGAGAGAAAGAGAGATAATTTATACATCTAATGGGACCAATAAATCTAGCATTAAGCACGGCACACAGTGTAGCAACTTTACCCTGAAGAAAGAGGAGACAGATGAAGAAATATGGGCTTTATCAATTACATGGGAGGAGTACAGGCAGTCAATCATGAGAAATAATAAACATGATCAAACTTCATTAAAAATGAAAAATTAATCAAGAATCACACATGGGCAAGCAGCAGGGGCCATGCAGGAAAGCTCTGAAGGGAGGGAGGCGGTTGGGTTGCTGAGTGTTAACACCCCTCCAGGGACCATCTCCAGCCTGACCATATGGATCAGAGTGAATAACACTGAGCCACATGGGTTTGGCCTGGCAGGGCCGCTGTTGCTGGCACCGTTTTTGCCTGTTACCTAGGAACAGAGGGGGCCGGGATTAGACAACGCTTCCCTACATCAATAGGCCAAATCACAAGCAGAATAGAAAGCCAACATGAAGATAATTGTCTCTGAATGTTGTCAACTACATTTTTTTTAGAGTTTAAAACTTCATTTTCTTACTTTATAAAGAAGTTGCCATCTCTGGCATAAATTTATTTTGTAATCAAACAATAATAATTTTAAGTATGCACTATTTTCAGTAAGTGTCATTGTAAGTGGGAACACTTACCTGCTTGTAATTTGTGAAAATCCAAAGCAAACTACCAGATTAAATATCTTTTTACAAATATGTAGGTAATAAGACCAAATGCATTATTCAGGGGAAGTGTACAAAAAGGAAACAAAAAGCAGAGCAACATTTCAAAGACTTATTCATAAAAGAGAAGCTTCTTGCATTAAGAACACTACTATATGAGCCACAATACACAGTGGGTGCGTGCGTGTGCGTGTGAGACTTTTCCCAAGAGACACATTTCCACGTACACGGCATACATACACATAGCTAAACACACATACAAGTAATTACTTATTACTTCCTTCATAAAATTTTCTCTAGCTTGACTTAATTTAACTGCAGACTTGGACAGCCCACAGTTGGTGCTTATCATAAGTTCACAGACCAACATTATAAATTTTAAAAAAGTACTCCTTTCATGCATTTGATTTGCTTTTTAACTATTTAAAATCCCAACTTCAAGACAGAATGAAGAACACATTGTTCAGTCATTGAGAAGCTGGTTCAAATTAAAACAAACCTGCCCATTGCAAATCCTAATCCAAGTGATAAATTATAGATCAGTTTACAAATGCAGCACTTTTCTAACCAATAATAATGAATTATCAATGCTAACTGAATTGATGCTTCTCGCTTCATTTATTTTTAAAACCAGTTCTATCATTCAAGAAATAAACCACATCAATCTAATAACCCACTCAATGAAGCAGAAAGCACATTGACTTGCTCTGCCAGAGCATGTTCCGCCTACATAATTCAATTGAGCATATCCTATTTTTTAATATCATCTTGGACTGGTACTATGTATATCACAGCACTGTTAAGGCATGTTACAAAAGAGTAAAGGCAGAGGAAACTAAAAAAATGAAAAAAAGCAGATAACAAAACTTCAGCACATTCTATGAGGCATTATTGATACATCAGCTAATTCCATAATGCGGCATCCAGAAATCCATATAGATTGTTTTAAAACTAATTATGTTTAAATAAACTGCAAAAGCTTATCAAGAATCAGAAAAAATGAGCCATTTCTCAGTGCATAATGTTAGTATCAGGCAAATATTGGGAAAAAGGTCATAGAAATCATTTTAATGTCTGCAGTCTAAAACATATTCTAACCCACATGCACCAAACTCTTACAATTTACATGCAAAAAAAAAAAATTCCTTACAAATTTCCTTTCACACCATCAGGTTTCAGATACCACAAAGCATCTCCTGACTTCAGTATATGTACTGAGCATCCTTTAAAACTCAGTACCCAGTGCTCACTCACTGCCAACATCAGCTACAAAGACAGTTATCCTTTACCCTCAGAAGTGACAGGTGCAGAAGTGCTTCTCTACTCTATGCTGGAGTGGAGCTGCCAAAAGGCCTCAAGATTTTTGAAAGAAAGGACCCCCATGGCTCCGAGGAAGCATTGTGCTCTACAGCAGAGTCAAAGGAATCTAATATGCCCAACTTATTACTCACTACAATATAGAAACTACTTACCACTTTCTAATGTCAAGAGTAATAACCAACCGTGAACTTGTCTGTCAGATAATATTAGAACAAATATCAAAATACCCAATGTAGGCTGGGTATAGCCCACCTCCCAAGAGCTTTCCTCTTACCCAAGAAAGCAGTGATAAGTCTAATTAAGCAATGGGGCAGGAGGAGGGGAAGAGAGAGGGGAATATAGGCAAATGTAGGCACATGTTTGTGCCTTACAATATGTTTCTTCATGTTTGTGATATTACAAGAGCTTGATATTCCAATTTAAGTCAAACAAGCCAGTGGTGTGCTGTCAGAGGAGAAAACAGAAATGAACATCTACTCTGTGTTAGGCATATTCACACATTATCTCAATCAGAACTGAAAAATCTTCTTAGTTTTATCAGCGGAAGACAGGGAAAAACAAGCAAGGTGTCTTCTAAATAAAACCTGCTGAAACAAACCAATTTTCTTAATACTGATTTTTGCCTAAATATACACATTTAACCACCTTATCCTCTATTTCCAAAGAAAAACACAATTACCTGAAGAGGAAAAGCACCACTCCCCAAGAGAGGGGACTTCAAAACCCTGATTTAAATATAATTTGAGCATTCTATTTATGGCAGAGTGCCTTTCAATATTAACTTTACTGGAAAAAGTCACTAAGCAGTTAGCAACCCCCTTTTTCTCACTAGGATCTGTGTCTCTGGCTAGGGAACTTTCTTTGTAAATGGTAATTTTCTGTTTTCTCCCCTCTTCCTCTTGCCTACACAAGCTCTTTCAGATAACCAGCCTCAGTACAACCTCAACTACTGCCACATAAATCAGATCTTCAAGATGCAGTGCGGCTGATGAAATGTAAATGACCTCATTGCTAAGGCAGGGGGTGGGGAAAACTGTGCCAGCTATCCAGATCAATTCCCAAGTTCACATTTTCACAAATCTTTTTATGTACAGTTTGATTTTTTAACATTTTAATGAGCAAAAAAGTGAATCTATAGTAGCCAGTCACCACAGTTAAAGTGCAGGGCATGAACTAGATCCCAGGAGGGAACCAGTCCACCATGTCACCACTGGCTTTAGGACATTCGCCACCTGGTTCCATGTCCCCAGGTTCCAACTCTTTTCATAATCAAAACACTGCTGACATTATAAACCCCAGACGGGTTTTCTAAAATCCTTCCCAATCAATATATCCAACACATAACTTATTGGAGACAACATTGAGCTCATTGATTAAGGTGAGTTCAGTCGCAAAGTTTTCAAAATAAATGAGACAAGAATTCAGCATTCAACCCCTTGTGTCACTAGACAATTTATGAAATAGGCAATTTCTAAAAGGGCTTTTCTTCCTAACAAAATCAACGATACTTCATGTGGGAAGAAATAAGAGCAGAGGGGGTGGGGGAATGCGTGGAGGGTAGACAGTTGCACAAACCTTTCAGTCATGCATATATCAAACAGCAGATTGCACAGGGTAGTAGAAAAGCAACAACATCTACAAAGCTCTGCCCACAAGGTGATACCAAGCCTCAGAGTCTGAACCAAACATGAAATCCACACACCTAACACTGGATTCACTTGCAAATGAAAATCAGAAATGAACTCAAGATTCACTTCAGTCTCCTTTGGATTCATTTCATCCAATGTGAATTCTCCTCTGGTCAGAAGGCCCATCAAGGGGACTTGCTCCAATCTGGAGAAAGTGGATTTTGTTCTGCTGAAACTAAGGCGTTCTCTTAAAAACCTGGTAAAGTTTTAAATTTATAATATTATCCATCATAGAATCCTATCTGGAAGCAAAACTTCGAAGACTCAATTTGATGCAGTTAACAGATTATTAATAACAAGGCTAAACCAATTTGCTCTAAATCTGGGGTGTGGGTAGGGAGGTGTACAAGATCCTGCCACAGCCATCAGTTTGGACGTCAATACTTTGTTTTCACTGCTTCGTTGAAACCCATAAACAAAAATTAGTTGTATTCAGCAGATGAAAACAACCGACAGACACAGACATACCACCCCACAAATAAGTGCCATCTGAAAGACAAAAGCACAGGCTGATTATAATGTCCACTGGGGTTATAGAATGTTGGGAGATGAGACGCATTTTCAATAGTTCAAAAGGAAAAAGAAAATGTTTGCAGGAAAACATTTAAATAAAGGAAAGAGACAGCCTGAGTAAATGAATGTATTCTAAAATACAGAGAGCTATAATCAGTCACTTTGTAGCTTGCTGAAAGCTAGTACAGCAGTCGATAATTTACCTTTGTCCAAAAAGAGTGAAGGAGGGAGAAACGGGGAAACAGTGGGAGAACATTTCCTGAGTTTTTTTATATCTAATTTATTTGTTCATTTCAAAATGTAGATGTGTGATGAAAAGATCAGCGGAGCACAAATTCCTAAAATACTCTATTTCAATGCTTAAATTTTTTTTAATAGCATGAGGGAAATGTTGACCGTCTAAGTCCTGCAATTGAGATCAGTGCCACTGACTTGAAAGAAAAGCCTTTGATTGATGATCTTAAAACTCAAGTTGAAAGTTAAAAACAGAACACACACACAAAATCCAACAAACACACAAAGCGAACAAAATTTCTACCCTAAGCCGTTTCAAGTTAAAACCAGGGACTCCAAATGAAAGCTACCAGAGGTTTTAATGCTTATGATTAAGAAGGGTAAAACAGAATGGTAAGAAGTTTTTAGGAGCTTAATTAGCACCAAGTTCAAGAATGTTGATCAGAAATTTCTAAATATGAAAATAGGAAACACAATTTTTTCTCTTTCTCTATAAATGTCAAATTAAATCCAAGATCCATATTATAGTTACAGCCAAACTAAAAAAAAAAATTTCCA